GGCAATGGAAACTCCCCAAATGCAGTCACCAGCCACTTCGATCGGCTGGTAGAAGCGGCCTCGGGGCGAGCGCACACACATACACTCTCCTCGCCGCGAGGCCGCTTCTTTCAGCAGACGAAAGTTCCCTTGAAGGCAGAGTCCCCAGCCGCTTCGGGGCGAGGCATGGCACACACACTCCCCTCGCTGCGAGGCTGCTTCTACCGGCTGATTGAAGTAGCTGGTGACTGCATTTGGGGAGCTTCCATCGCCTGAAAAAGACTGCCTAAAGGCGAGGGGACATGGGCAGCCACGCCTCGCCCTGAAGCGGCTGGGGATTCTGCCTTCAAGGGAGCTTTCGTCTGCCAAAAGAAGCGGCCTCGTGGCGAGGGGAGTGTGTGTGTGTGCGTTCGCCCCGAGGCCGCTTCTACCGGCTGATCAAAGTGGCTGGTGACTGCATTTGGGGAGCTTCCATTGCCCGAAAGAGACTGCCTAAAGGTGAGGGGACATGGGCAGCCACGCCTCGCCCTGAAGTGGCTGGGGATTCTGCCTTCAAGGGAGCTTTCGTCTGCTGATAGAAGCGGCCTCGTGGCGAGGGGAGTGTGTGTGTGTGTGCTTGCCCCGAGGCCGCTTCTACCGGCCGATCGAAGTGGCTGGTGACTGCATTTGGGGAGCTTCCATTGCCCGAAAGAGACTGCCTAAAGGCGAGGGGACACAGGCACAGCCACGCCACGCCCTGAAGCAGCCGGGGACTCTGCCTTCGGGGAGCTTTCGTTGGCCAATAGAAGCGGCCTCGCAGCGAGGTACGTGTGTATGGGCCGCTCTAGGTGTGTGAGGAAAGTAAGTCACCCCCGAAAAGACGGCCTACCTGTTTTTTCAGGGGTCAAAAAAAAAAAAAGGCCTGGCCTTATTTTGTGAGAAACACGGTATTAATCTGTGTAAAGTTTTAACTAACAAGGTATGTCTTTGCATGTTTCAGGTATGCCTTAGTGAAATGAGAGCTCATTTGAAGACTTGTGACCAATATATAGAAAAATATGGGCCTCTACAAGAAGTTGCATACCCTGAAACAAGGTAAATTACATCTTAGTAAAATTAAGAATAGAGAAATTATAGGTTTATAAGCTATTTTAGCTTTTCATGTCCAAGTGGCTTGAATTGAATACTAAAACTTACTATGGAGAGACAATGTTTATAGTTTATTTCTCAGGAACAGATTGGTTCATTATCCAAAATAGCTATTAACTGGAGAATGTATTTAGTAGGTAACATTGAAAATGTGGGTATTTATACATATCTGTCTGTTGTTTTCAGGTATCCTTGTCCTTTCTGTCAGAATGAACTGGATGAAAATGATCTCTTGGACCATTTTCTCACTTTTCACAGAACTGAAAGACGACCAGTGGTAACTTTCTTACACTTCTATTTATGTCTGTATCCTAATTATCACTTGTATGATAAATTAGATAAAATGAGATAAATGTACATTTGTATGTCATGATATATTAATAACTGATATTTCTTAAAAATAATACATCTGATGAAAAATTATCTCTGCAGCTTGCTGCCTAAGGAAGGTTTTGTGAAATGTGGATTTCAAAGGCTCCAGAACTAAAACTTTTCATTATAGAATTATAATTCTATACAATTCATTATAGAAGTACTCTGAAAATGTTAGAGCATTTATTTTAACCTTTTCATTAGCGTAAGCCGGCTTGCCTGTTGGTATCATCTGGGCAATCTTGCATGTTTGAAAATCTATTATGACTCTTACTATAGTATGTTATTTTCTTCATTGCAACACAGTGCATTAGCATGCTTCTTTAATCAGAGAAATTGTAATAAACATAGATTTAGAAAGAGAAGATATTTATAGTAATCAAACAACTATTAAGTAATCACTGTGAGCAATGTAAGTGCAAAAATAACAATTCTCAGTTTCAAATAATGTTATTTTCTTATGTTAAAATATATTTAAAGCTTCATTGAGGTCTTAAACTCACTTGAGAACTGCTAGCATATGTCAGGAGAAAAATAGTTCCGTAATTAAAACTACCTATGGCTACAAAATATTCATCCATGGAAGAGGTTTCCATTATGTCTGTAATTGGGCAGAGGTTTATTCCAACTTGTTTTCCAAAAATCCAATGCTGGATTTTTAATAAATACAGTAAAGTTAAAAAATATAGCATAGTAAAGTGCTGGTTGTTGTAGTAGTAATTACCAGCTGGCTATTCTGCATTTCTATATCTTGTATCTTTATATGTAACTGTACGTTCAATCAGATTTTAAAAAAGTGTGTGACATGTCCCTCTTATAGTTTGGAACCATACTTTCTATAAAAAATTCATGGCTGTGTTCAGACATCACCTTCAAACATACAGGTTGGTTTTATGATCATATTTGGGGTCAAGATTGTGGTCCTAAGTTGTAAAGAGATATGATCATACCAATTTATGATTGGCAAAGCATATTGTGGTCATTAACTGAGCATCGTGGTTGTTAAATGAGTACCCATCCCAATTTAAGGCATTTCAGTTTTCCTCCCTCCTACCCTCAGTAAGGTAAGGGACTGCCTCTTCTTCCTCATCTCTGCCCTACACCTTGCAGGATGGCAAGCAGCTCCAGAACCACTCTTCCACCCTGCCCACCCCAGTCAACATTCACTCACCCTTCTCAGCCTTCTCTTCCAGTTCCCCATACTGACCTTTCCACCCCACCCATCATGGCTGAAGGAGAAACACTCCACTGCATTTGCTTTCTCCTTTTTGGACCCAGCTTTTCTGATGAACGTTTCTTACATGTGGCTCCTTGAGCCTTCTGAATGCTGTGTAGTCTTTGTAAAGTTGTGTTGACTTTGGAAAATCACTGGAAAATATGCAGGTGTGGGGGGGACTTGAAGTATCTCGGTAGTTGTAAGTATGGGCAGGCTGCCAAGCCCTCAAATTTTGATCATGTGACCACCGGGGCATTTCAATAACTGCAATTTTGGGCATGGGTCAAAAGTCCACTTTTTTTACTAATGTAATAATTTCATAAAGTTACTGAATGAACAAACATAAGTGAAGAAATATCTGTACATTTTGGGTTTTGCTTTGATATTTTGCTTACTGTAGGAGAAAGCTATATTAATTCTATGGAATGTTTGAAATTTAGAGATTATATTGTAGGAATTTTCCTGAAATGACAGGAAACATATATTTGCAAAATCATTATTTTTTTTTGGGGGGGGGGGGGGGGGGGATTGTTTTTGTTTTTTGCAAAAGACTAAGAGAGGGAAAATAACTTTTATGGCTTTGTGCCTAAGGGAGGTCTAAAACTCAGGTCTCCCAGTTTTTAGCCTGATGTGCATCCCCTAAATCCCTACATCAAACAGACCTCTCTCAGTATATGTTGGTTATAACCAGTCAGAAAACACTATAGGTGAGGGTGCTTTCTCCAGCTATGTAGGGTTGAGAAGCATTTTTGGAAATAAAAATGATGCTGCAAGCTAACTACATATTTACCTTATCATGCCAGGTTCCTGTTTATGTTTTAAGTTTAAAAAAGAAGTTTATTAGAAAGGAGGAGGAGCCTTCTAATAAAGAAGTTTATTAGTTGTGTACCATGGAATTTGTCCATGGGTTTAATATTGCCAAGCCTACTGTTGTGTTTTTGCATTAATACAGCCATTGTACTTTATAAACCATAATTTATTGCTTAGTTATTTTGTGTGAACCTAGATAAATTTGATCTGTTAATAAACAATATTTATAAAATCAGGGATTTGTCTAATCTGTGAATTTAGTCATGTCTGATGTCTACATGAATAGAGGGCACTAATTTACAGATGCATAAAGCTGAAAATGTTCTTGGAACATGAACTATTTTTATATTTTCCCCATGACCTAAATAGATAACAGGACCAACTGCTTCTGTAGACAGGATATTTACATTCTTGTATAGCATTTGTAATATAGGCTATGGAGAAAATAAACTGAATTTACTGCTGATAGAAAGGGAATAATATCTGAAAGCTTCTATTCAACCAACAGTAATTTAGATATAATTAATGTTTTTTTCCAATAATGATTCATGTTGCACATAATAATGACAAAAATATTATTTACTTCTCTCCACCTTGAACTGTCTACAGTACTGTCCAATCTGTCGTTTACTACCTGGTGGCGGTCCAAGTTACTACATCAGAAATTTTATAAGGCATCTTCAGCTGAGACATACATTTTATTATGAAGATTATATTGTGAGTAAATTATATCATTTTTTCCTAATCCCTGCTAAACTTTATCTCAATCTTTATCTCTCTGTATTTCTCATAGCGTATAAAGACATTTATAGATTTCAAGAGCATTATTTGGGGGATAGGTTGCACTCTGTTTATTCTATTCTATTCTATTCTATTCTATTCTATTCTATTCTATTCTATTCTATTCTATTCTATTCTAAAAGCTAAAGAGTTCAGTGGAAAAATAACCAGATTTATATTGAAAGTGATATGCCAGAGAATTTGTTCAGATGTTTAATAGCAATCCAGAATTTACTGAACACGTTATATGTGTTTATTTTCAAATTTCTAGAATTGGTTCTCCTTATGCAAAATTATCAGATGGAAGATAGGAACCTGTTTGCTCTCTGGATCATGAATCTTCTATTTACAAATCTTTATAAGATGCATACAAGGAATTCATTCTAAAAAAGACATTATTCTGCTATTTTTTGTGAACACTGGGAAATATATCCAATGACAGTTTCCTTTTATTTGGAACTATAATTGCAGGTTATCTAGTTATATGTGTGAATGAAATATCAAGGATTTACCATCCTAAAATATCTAAGCTGGGTGTAATCTCTTATTGCTAACAAAGTTATTACTGATGCCTAGAATTTGGCTGGTTTCACAGCTAAACAAGATTTTTTGTTGTTGCAGTATTTTACTTGAATGCCTGATTTCCTTATTTCAGGACATAAATATTGTAGAAGAAGTTCTCATTGAAAGAGTTCTGGATCGATCAGTTTTGGACTATGTACATGTGAATAATCCAGGTACTGCATGATCACCAACAATTCGAAGAGAAGACAAATGGATTACATCGTGAATTAAAGCACTGGTTGTTTATGCTGTTATTAACTACCATACAAAAATTTTTGAATTTTAAATATTTCATATGTGAAACATTCCATTTCAAGTATGAAACAATTGTTCTGACCATTCTATTTAAAACTATAAATTTCAAGTTCAAAATGAGATATTTCAAGAATGAAACTTGGTGTATCAATTTCCTTGTCTGTAATTCATTTCTATAATTAATAATTAAGTTTCTAAACTCCATTATTTTTCTTAAACATATATAAACACTAGCATCAAACTAATCTTAATTGGTTGTGAATTACTGAGATTGAATGCATACCAGAAATCTTCTCAATGTATAGCTTGAGTTCTGCCATTATTCATTAATTTCAGATTTGGAAAACCTATCTTTAAACACTTTCAAGAAATCTGTTTGTCTCTAATCATTAATCCTATATGTATATGGTACTACACAAGCCAATCATGGAATAAGATCTTAATGAAGATCAATTAGTATCCAGATTTTTATACCACCACGATGTAAAATGACAGCCAATCTCATTGTACACATGTACTCTGAACAATGAAGGTAATAATTTAAAAATATTCAGAGGAAGTTCTAAGAGCAAAACATATATTTACAGAAAATTTTAAATTTGCTCTAAACAAGTTGGCAAGCTAGAAAACTTGCTATAATTCTAATTCATTCTTATCCTTTAATTTCAACATTAGGAAAATATTTGTTTTTCAAAATAAACAATCAGCTATCAAAATAGTTTTAAGTTTGTCAAATTAAATACTTATGCCTAATTCTTTCAGTGGGAAGTAATTGTTCAGAATACAAATTGTTATTACCCATTTTTCCAAAAGCAAAACTTATCAGGCTTTTTTTACGTATAGTTTTGAAAAAAGTGACCAAAGCTCAGATTATCTTGTGACTGCATTTCCAGAGGACAGAATCTTTATGATCATGAAAATGTTGCAATGCCAATGAGCAACTATTTGCTTTTTAAAACATTGCATCATTTCTCAGTGAGAAAACTTAACTTGACAAACAAAGAGTATATCATTAAATGGCCCTGGAGAATTAATTGGATATATTAATGTATCTTAAATTGACAGCAGCTGGACTGTCAAGTACAATATATTTCCATTAAAAAAAACCATAATTGAATCAGTTTAATCGTACTAAAAACTAGAACCTAGTGACTGTGTCGTTCCATCTTTCTCTATGCCATATTTCATACTGTTATGCAGAACTCTGTAAAACAAATTAATTTTACGTAGGATCTTTTAAAACTATTTCCAGTAATGCCATTGATATATTTTGTACATACTGTACATTCATGCACAGTAATATGTGCTGATGAGATTATAGAAAAGTTATAATGTGAGTGTATATAAAATATTCAAGTCTGAATTAATGTTGTATTTACTAATCAAGAACAATTTGAAAGAAGGGTGATAAAAAATTACCTCAAAACCATAGACCTATTAACCTGCTGAATATAGTCAGCAAGTGGTATGCCAGATGTTTATGTAATCCATTAGTGGATTGAATGGAACTATTCTAAAACTATTCTGGTAATATTTGGCTTTCACCCAAATCATTCTATTGTACAGATGAAACTCAAAAAATTAGAATATTGTGGAAAAGTTCATTTATTTCAGTAATGCAACTTAAAAGGTGAAACTAATATATGAGATAGACTCATTACATGCAAAGCAAGATAGTTCAAGCCATGATTTGTCATAATTGTGATGATTATGGCTTACAGCTCATGAAAACCCCAAATCCACAATCTCAGAAAATTAGAATATTGTGAAAAGGTTCAATATTTTAGGCTCAAAAAGTGTCCCACTCTAATCAGCTAATTAAGCCATAACACCTGCAAAGGGTTCCTGAGCCTTTAAATGGTCTCTCATTCTGGTTCAGTAGGACAGTCATGAGAAAGACTGCTGACCTGACAGTTGTGCAGAAAACCATCATTGACACCCTCCATAAGGAGGGAAAGCCTCAAAAGGTAATTGCAAAAGAAGTTGGATGTTCCCAAAGTGTTGTTTCAAAGCACATTAATAGAAAGTTGTGTGGAAGGGAAAAGTGTGGAAGAAAAAGGTGCACAAGCAGCAGGGATGACCGCAGCCTGGAGAGGATTGTCAGGAAAAGGCCATTCAAAAGTGTTGGGGACTTTCACAAGGAGTGGACTGAGGCTGGAGTCAGTGCATCAGGAGCCACCACACACAGACAGATCCTGGACATGGGCTTCAAATGTATTCCTCTTGTCAAGCTGTTCCTGAACAACAAACAACGTCAGAAGCGTCTTACCTGGGCTAAAGAAAAACAGACCTGGTCTGTTGCTCAGTGGTCCAAAGTCCTCTTTTCTGTTGAGAGCAACTTTTGCATCTCATTTGGAAACCAAGGACCCAGAGTCTGGAGGAAGAATGGAGAGGCACACACTGCAAGATGCTTGAAGTCCAGTGTGAAGTTTCCACAGTCTGTGTTGATTTGGGGAGCCATGTCATCTGCTGGTGTTGGTCCACTGTGCTTCATTAAGTCCAGGGTCAACGCAGCCGTCTACCAGGAGATTTTGGAGCACTTTATGCTTCCTTCCACAGACGAGCTTAATGGGGATGCTGACTTCATTTTCCAGCAGGACTTGGCACCTGCCCACATTGCCAAAAGCACAAAAACCTGGTTCAATGACTGTTGGATTACTATGCTTGATCGGCCAGCAAACTCGCCTGACCTGAACTTCATACAGAATCTATGGGGTATTGCCAAGAGAAAGATGAGAGACATGAGACCGAACAATGCAGAAGAGCTGAAGGCCGCTATTGAAGCACCCTAGTCTTCCATAACACCTCAGCAGTGCCACAGGCTGATAGCTTCCATGCCACGCCGCATTGAGGCAGTAATTGCTGCAAAAGGGGCCCAAACCAAGTTCTGAGTACATATGCATGCTTATACTTTTCAGAGGTCCGATATTACTCTATGTATAATCCTTGTTTTATTGCAATCTAATTTTCTGAGATTGTGGATTTGGGGTTTTCATGAGCTGTAAGCCATAATCATCTCAATTATGACAATTCGCGGCTTGAACTATCTTGCTTTGCATGTAATGAGTCTATCTCATATATTAGTTTCACCTTTTAAGTTGTGTTACTGAAATAAATGAACTTTTGCACGATATTTTTCGAGTTTCACCTGTATACCTAACATTGATACCATTTAATAGAACAATAACCTCTAAATTGATTTTAGATCTGCAAAAAAACTTCAGACTAAAGAGTGGGCATTAGGAGGACTGAGTATTACTGCCAAGGCAGAGCTGAGCCGGCAAGGACAGGAATTGCTCCTCGGAGATGATTTCCCATTATTTAGGTGTTGCATTTTCTTATAAATTCTACAAAATGGTTCCCCTTTGTCTTCCACCATGCACCTCTCCAATTTTCTATTTGGGTGAATCTAGAAAACTGATAAAAATAAATTCAATTAACCTTAAAGCCACTGTAATTCTAGCAGGAGACTTCAATGCCAGGATGGGACCTTCCATACAAGATTTGGTTCGTTTGGATATTATTCCTGAGGATTATCTAATGATCTGGCTTTCTAGAGACACCAAAAGAAATACCACAGGTTCACAATTGGTCTCTCTGCAGGTTTACAATTGGTCTCCTTGATTTATAAATATAACCTTCCACATTTTAGGTGTAAAGAACCTGGTGTTATACTGTATATCCTTTTACATTCCATTCAGGAAATTTCAGCAGTGTTCTAGATGAAACAAAAGTTGTTTTCAGATATCAAAGCTCATGTGAGGGAGGATAGCAATCATTAACAAAGTTTATCTACAAGGCAGATCTGATACTAGGTTATACATGTCTCATGTTAAGAATATATTAGCTAATCTTGAAGTGAGGCAGAATAGAAAGCTTAGTTGAGTCAAGTTTGATAACAAGACATTAGGTATTTTTCTAAACTCACACCTGGAGAGAGTCAATTTCCTTCTTTACCCAAGGTTCAGATAAAATCCTGACCCAATACATGTATCTCTTGTCATTTGCTGAGAAAAACATTTAATAGACAAACTTCCTACTATAGAAACCATCAACAAATATGTTTAAATAGATTTGATTCTGTTTACATACCAGAAAGTTACTGAGGGCTGCAAATGTGCCAGGCCCCGGGGGATACCCACCACACACACAAAAAGCTAAAATGCTAAAAATTAGGCATTATGAAACATTGTAATAGCCTTTTAAAATGCCTCCTATAGAGTTGAAATATAGTCAGATCTGCAAGTTTCAGTGAAAGGAACGAATTCAGTTTTCTTCTGGAAAATGATATCAAGTTTATTGAAGGAACATAATTTCAATTTTATATTCCTGTTACAACCTCAGTTTGGGAGAATTTAATTTCATAAGGCTGGAGAAGGTTTTCTACTCCCAAAACTCTTAAGACTCATATTGATTGGTGAGCCTCTGTTAGCAGGTCTGTTCACCCATATATAAATAATACAGGTTGTATTTCAATCGGATGGGAAGTCACCATTATAGTTCCATATAAAAAGGGACTCAAAAAACAGATAAGATTTATTGGAGTTGTGGGTAAAATGTATGTGAAACTCTCTGTCAAGCAAAATAGAACGCTGGGTAATGGAAAGAAATCTTTAGAGAGCATTTCCCTGAGGATGGCCTCCACTATGAGTCTGAAAGCCAGAAGACTAAACTTCTGATCCTGGTGACCGACCCAGATTGGATCTTGCAACATTATCCTGGGACACATGTTTGTCTTCATTCAGGAGAAAAAAATGTTTGTCTTCATTCAGGAGAAAAAAATCTTAGTAGAGGAACAAGCTGGATTTGGACCAGAGCATTCCACAAGACAATTGTTTTATTATACACTTAAAACAATTAACAAATTGCAAGAAACCATTTACCATATTTATACAATTTAATGCAGCTTTTGTTTCCATAAATACAAATATTCTGTGGATGAAATTTGGCCAGCTTAAATATTGAACCCAGACTCTTATTTTTGGTTACGGCTCTCTACAGAAAGTCTGCAGAGGTGTAAATGTTTCTTTAATCAACACCCATAATGGTGTTAGAGAATATCCCTAGTCCCAATGACTTTTAATTTCTGTGTCAATGATTTACCTGTATATTGCGGACACTCGTTTACCAAAGATCCATGATAAATTTATTAATATCCTTTTATGTGCTGATGACATGATTGTAATGGCAGATTCCAGAATCTGTCTTAGAAGATTGTTACAAAGGCTAAATACCTACTGTGCTCTTAATTCTTTGAACAGCAATAAAACCAAATTTAAAGTGATGATATTTAGCAGAAAAAAGTGTGAAATATAGCTGATAGAGAAATGGGTAATCTGTGGAACAAGTGAATTATTTTACCTACATAGTGACTTTTACCAGCACTTGGTCAGAATTAAATTGCTTTTTAATTCTTTGGGAGGAACTGAGCTAATACTAAAAGATTATACAAAGTGTTTAACTACATTACCCATGTACTTTTACTCCTATACTGAAAGTATTAAGGGCAAAAATAGTCACAATTATCAATGTGCAGAATTGTGGGGCCTTAATAAAGCTACCCCACTTGAAGAAGTTCAGGCCCATTTTTTAAGATGTGTACTGGGAACGGACAAGAAGAACACATCTTCCCCTGCACTTTGAGCTGAAACAAATATCCATTCCTTACATAGTCACTTGATAATTAAAACTTTCCACATAC